CCTTAAGTACTACTTTAATGGCATCTACAGATTCTGATATGTTGTTTTCATTTTCATTCAGTTCAAAATACTTTTCAATTTCTCTTTTGATGTGTTCTTCAATCTGCCAGTTATATGGAAGGGTGTTGTTTAGTTTCCAAATTGTTGGGGATTTTCCAAGGATCTTTTAGTTACTGATTTCTAATTTAATTTTTCTGTGGTCAGAGAACATAGGTTGTATGACTTGAATCCTATTGAATTTTATTGAGTCTATGGTCAAAAATAGTTCTCTGTGTACTTGAGAAGAATGTGTATTCTGCTATTGTTGGGTGTTCTCTAAATGTCAATCAGATCAAGTAATTAATAGTGTTATTCAAATTTTCTATATCCATACTGATTTTCTGCATACATGGTCTAGCAATTATTGAAAGAGGAGTGTTAAAATCTCCGACTAAAATTTTGGATTCATCTATTTCTTTGTGCAGTTCTATCAGTTTTAACTTCATGTAATTTGAAGCACTATTATTAGGTTCATAAATGCTTAAGACTGTTATTTCCTCTTGATGAATTGACCCCTTTATCTTTATAATGATAAAATGAGCTTTTGATCCCTGGTAATAGTCTTTGGTCTGAAATTTATTTTGTTTGATTGTAAAGTAGCTAATCTCATTTTCCTTTGGCTAGTGTTAGCATAGTTTCTCTCTTTCCATCCTTTCACTTTTAACCTACTTATTATATTATCTTTATATTTATTTATTTATTTTATTTAAAGATTTTTATTTATTTATTGAGAGAGAGAGAGAGAGAGAATGATAGAGAGCATGAGAGGGAGGAGGGTCAGAGGGAGAAGCAGACTCCCCGCTGAGCAGGGAGCCCAATGCGGGACTCGATCCTGGAACTTCAGGATCTTGACCTGAGCTGAAGGCAGTCACCCAACCAACTGAGCCACCCAGGCGCCCCTTATCTTTATATTTAAAGTGCACTTTTTTGTAGGCAGCATATAGTTGGGGCTTGCTTTTTTATTCAACCTGACAACCTATGCCTTTTAATCAGGCAGTTTACTCCATTTACATTTGATTTGATTTTTAAGGTGTTAGATTTGAGTTTATCCTTTTGCTATTTGTTTTCTATTTGTCCTTCCTGTTATTTGTTCTCACTTTCCTGGTTTTCTACCTTCTTTTGGGCTAATCAAGCTTCTTTTTGATTTGATTTTATCTCTGTTGTTGCTTTATTAGTTATAAATCTATTTTTTTTATGTTAGTGGTTGCTTAACTGTTTATAGTATATATATTTATCTTAGTGTATCTTAAAGTGATCTTATGCCATTTCATACATACTATAAGAACCCTACAATATATACTTTCATTTATCTCTTTCTGGCCTATATGATATTGTAATGCATTTTATTTTTCATTTCTACAAGTTTAATTTGGGTCTTCCTTTATATTTTCTGTGTTTCTAACTTTTTGAATATATGGAATACAGCTATAATAACTGTCTTAATGTTCTTTTCTGTTAATTCTAACATCTGTGTCAGTTCTAGGTTGCTTTTCACTAATTATTCTCCCCCATTGGTTGTATTTTTTTGACTCTTTGTATAATTGGTAATCTTTGTTTGGAGGCTAGACATTGTGAATCTTACCTGGTTCAGTGTTGACTATTTTTATAGCTCTATAAATCTTCTTGTGCTTTTTTCTGGGAGATACTTAAGTTATTTGGATATAGTTTGGTCCTTTGGGATCTTGTTTTTACTTTTTAGTAGGTAGGTCTGAAGCAGTGCTCATTGTAGGGCTACTTCTCCACCACTGAGGCAAGATCTTCCTGAATACTCTACCCAGTGCCTTGTGAATTATGAGTTTTTCCTGTCTGGCTGATTGAAATAGGCACTATTCCTAGACCAATGTGAATGACAACCATTCCCTCTAATCCTTACAGATGGTTCTTTCCTGGGCCTAGAACTGTCTCCTTAGATGCATACATTGGTCATAAATATTTGAGGAAGAACTCTGTGGATCTGTCCAGTATTCTGTCTCTGTGCCTCTGTCTTCTTTCTGTTATTCTGTCATGTGAACTCTAGCTGCTTTGGTCTCTAGACCTTAGGGCCTGTTTTCTCAACTCAGGTAATCTGCCAGGCTCTGTCTCAGCTTTCTCTTCCTTCTGCCATGCTTGGAAACTCTCAAAGTAGCAAACTGGGGCAATTATGGGACTCACCTTGTTAGTTTCTTAGTTCTCAGAGATCACTATCCTTTGTTGCTTCATATAGAGTATCTTGAAAACTGTTGTTGTAGATATTTTATCTGTTTTTTGTTTTGTTTTGTTTTGTTTTAGATACTTTAGTTGGGATGGTACATCTTGTCCTTATTAGTTCATCTTGGCCAAAAGAGGAAGTCAAGTCATTGTTTTTTTTCCTTTTTGAGATTTAATCCTTTCTCTTTTATTTGCACTTTTTTGAGGGTGAAATGTCAAGGTTTAGAAGAGTTGTAAAAATTATTCAAGGAACACCTGTATACACTTCATCTAGATTAATCAGTTGTTAACATTTTGCCACATTTATGCATGCTTTCTCTTACTCTCTCTCAGACTTTAACTGAACCATTTGAGAGAAATTGCAGACATCATGATAATCATTAAATAATTCTTTTTTTTTTTTAAAGATTTTATTTATTTGAGAGTGAGCGAGAGAGAAACAGCATGAGAGAGGAGAGGGTCAGAGGGAGAAGCAGGCTCCCCGCTGAGCCGGGAACCCATTGTGGGACTCGATCCCAGGACCCTGGGATCATGACCTGAGCCGAAGGCAGTCGCTTAACCAACTGAGCCACCCAGGCGCCCCTCATTAAATAATTCTTAAGAATAAAGTCACTTTCCTATATAACCATAATACAATGATCAAATTCAAGAAACAGAGTATAGTGGAAGAAGCAGAAATTGCCTTTTCCTTTTAAAGATTTTATTCATATATTTATTTTGAGAGAGAGAGAGAGAAAGAGCACAGGGGGTGGGGCAGAGGGAGAGAGAGAGAGAATCTCAAGCAGACTCCACCCTCAGCATGGAGTCTGACGCAGGGCTCAGTCTCATGACCCTGCAATCATGACCTGAGCCAAAATCAAGAGTCAGACACTTAACCAACTGAGCCACCCAGATGCTCCCAGAAATTCCCTTTTAAAGGTTGGGCTCAGAAAAAAAAAATAAAAAAGTAGGGCACCTGGGTGGCTCAGTCGTTGGGCATCTGCCTTCGGCTCAGGTCATGATCCCGGGGTCCTGGGATCGAGTCCCAGGCTCAGGTTTGGCTCTCCTTCTTTCAGTCCCACATGGGGCTCCCTGCTTGGCGGGAGTCCTGCTTATCCCTCTCCCACTCCCCCTGCTTGTGTTCCCTCTCTTGCTGTCTCTCTCTGTGTTGAAAAATAAATAAAATCTTAAAAAAAAATTTAAAAAATAGATAAATAAAAAAATAAAGGTTGGATTCGGAATTGGCACTCCTTCACTTCCATTCTATTCCATTTGTCAAAGCAGTCATAGGCTAACCCAGATTTAAAAGGAGGGGAAATATGTACCCATTTCTCAGCTGGAGGAATGTCAACGAATTTCAGGCCATTTTTAATCTATCACACTGTACATATTCACTTCCTATTATCTCAGTAATATACTTTGCGGCAACTCTTTTTCAATCCAGAAATTCAGATGTCAAATCTCTTCAGTCTCCTTTAATCTGAAACAGTTTTTTATTTTTCTTTCTTTTATGACATTGAAATTTTGGGGGTGTGCAGGCCAGTTGTTTTGTAGAATGTCCCTTAATTTGGGCTTATCTGTTTCCTCATGTTTAAATTCCAATTCTGTATTTCTGTCAGGAATACAATGAAGGTGATGTCATGTCCTTAGAAAACTACCTCATGTGTGATGCCAGTTTGTGCTACTTGGTGAACTTAGCTTTGAGTACTTGATTAAGGCGGTATCTGCCGGATGTCTCCAATGTACTGGTACTCTATCTCCATCATAATTGGTAAGTAATCTCCAGGAACGTCCTTTTTTTTTTTTCTTTTCCTTTAATTAAAAAAAAAAGTTCTGTATTCTGTGTTAGGGAATCTTTAATCTGTTGTGTATCAGTTCTGCTGACTGTCACTTATGTGTGACCTCCTATGAGTGGCGATTTTGTTGTTTTTGCTGTTAACTTGCATTTGTGTGAATCCTATGGGTCTGAATCAAGGGTGCATCCTTCAGAGTGGGTTTCTATTGCTTCTGCTTAGAGCACAGGAGACTTGGTAACTCTTTAAAGGCTCAGGTTTGGCTCTCCTTCTTTCAGTCCCAGATCACAGTGTGGGCAGAAGCTCTCCATGTGCCCTCAGCAAAGCCCCAGATCTCTTGCTTAGAGTTCAATGGCCCAGTGCTGGTTCTTCCCATGGTTTGTTCCTTTTGGGTTGGGGTAATTCTTGGAGAATCTCTTACTTTCCGTGCGTGGCAGGGTGCCCTGGAGAATCTGGACTGCTATTCTGCCTACCTAAGCAGAACCCACCATGATTTTTCACTTAAATCTTTAGTTATAAATATGATTCTGTCTTGAGTTTCTGTTATAGTATCTTTGAAGAAGTTAGGATTTCTCACAATTTATTCAGTTAATATTCTTAATCGTCCTGCGAAATGGGAAAGGCAGGTAATTTGGTACATTATGTAGTTGAGAAAGCTGAAAGCTGCCAGGGTGATGTAAGGTAAGTTTACTAACCTCTGAAGCCTCAGTTTCCTATTCTGTAAAACCAGAACTAACCATCTCTTTGAACTAACCCATGCTTTGTGAGCATTTACGGGGATGGATGTGGGACGCACCCAGCCCCTAGCTCAGTATTATTAGCACAAGGCTTTAAGGTCTCTCAAAAGACAAGATGTCCACCCCTCTCTCCCCCTCCTAGTTCAACTATTCCATCGCCCGGGTGGGGTCCGTGGGGCTCGGGGGGAGCGCCACGCTTGCAGAGAAACTGGCAGACCCGCCCCCAAGGCCTGGCCGCCGCGACTCTCGGGGCGGGCAGGGGGCGGAGCCTGCACTCGGGGACCTCCTCCGGGGTGGCGGGGGCCGTCCTCACGGCCCCTTTGGCCTCCTCTTTCTGTGGGAGGTGCGTGCTCGGTACGGCCGTGTCTGTGGTGAGTTCTTGGGGCCTGGGCTTCGCGGGCGCCTGGGACGCGCAATCCCGTGCGGAGGCGGCGTGGGCATCGCCGTGGGGCGCACCGGGGTGGGTCCCGCGCTGGGCCTGGGCGCGCGGCGGCCGGCGCGGTGCGGCCCGGCTCGGTGGGGCGGTCCTGCCTCAGCCCCGGCGGTGGGGCCGGACTGGGGGCCTGCGGAGGCCGAGCCTAGCGGGAGGGGAGGCACCGGCTCAGGTGCCCGCGCCACCGCGGCGCTCCCTCTGCTGTCGGCGGGGGAGTCGGGCGAGATGCTGCCAAGTGGGGAGCGATTCAGGGGTCGTCTCACGAATCTGGGGTCGTCCTCCAGCACCTCTTTCCCCGCGGGCTAATCAACGTGAAAAAGCCCCTTCCTCCTTGGAGCCCTTTCTCCCAGGGTTTCTCCTAGGAAACCGATCAGCTGATCCCAGCCTGGGGCCTGCTGTGGCCGGCGAGTTGTCAGAGTCACCTGGATTTTAAAGTACTTCAGAGACACCTGCCTGGAGTCGGGCTCTGAGCCCATCCCCCGTCTTCAGATGGGTGTCTGTGGATCGGTCTTCCATTAGATAAGAGCTAACTCTAGTTTGAAAAGAATAGAGAAGTCCAGGAAGACTGGGACTGAGAAAAGGCCTTTGGATTGCTAGCCTTAGGAGAGCAGTTAGTAACAAAGTGGGCGTGCGTTGGGTTGCAGAGTGTTGAAGAGTGGGAGAGGGTTGAGGACGTGGAGGCGCTCGGGGCACAGGGAGAGTTCTGCAGCCCTTTGGTGATGAAAACGAGGAGCAAGGAAAATAGTAATTTGAGGATTGAGGAGAGGGGTGTGTGTGTGTTTTAATTTTTTAATTTCTAAATTTTTTCAGAAAGGAAGATAAAAGTCAAGGAATCTTGGATAGGAATGAATATTATTCAGGGCCCAGGCTCAGATACTGGGCTTAAAAAAGAGGGGTGGAGTGCTATCCTAGGCGGGAGGGCTGGGCAGGAGTGCTGGAATGTGTCTCTAGGGGACTAGATAATGCTTGATTGGACCATAGTTTATCTTTTTGGAATTTTATCTTCTAGAGCAAGGTTGGCCTTTAAACCCCACGAAATTGCAAAAAATTTTCAGGTTCCTGTCTGTGTGCCTTGATCAGATTAGAAACATCTGTTAGAGAGTACTGAATTGTTTGACCCCGTAATCTTGTTGGGGGGGCAATAAAACGAGTTCTGTTACTGTATTTTATATGCCACTTGATAGAATAAGTATTTAGTATCTACTTTAAACTGAGCTGATAATAATGGGCGCTTTTTCCAGAGATGCATACGAATCATTTGAGAGCTAACCATCTCTTCGAAGATCTTTTATTCAGAGTGGGACCATCAAAAGGAAGTTAGTGGTGGTTTTAGTCTCTTTTTTTTAAGCCATCAAGGGACAGTGGTTTCTCAAACAGACCTAGGTTCCTGTTGAAAATATGGGTCCCCTGACATCACCTCAGACCTTTGAAATAAAAATCTCTGGGAGTAGAACCTAGGAATAGGAATTTCAAACAGAGACTGCAGTATTCTCTGGCATTGGAAATTATTGACAGCCTCTGAGGTTTTTTGTTTTTGTTTTTTTTAGATTTGGGCTTGTTGGGGCCTCTTTAGAACAGATCTCCTTAAAAGTTATATGAATGAATTGCTGCCAAACTTATGTAACTGAAAGTTATAATCCTGTCTATTGTGTCATCTCTAAATTTTAATAGATTTTGAAGAAAATCTATATAGTCATTTTATCAGGAAAAAAGACATTGGTTTTTTATCACAAAAACCCAACTTTAGAACAATTTTTTGATCACAAAAACACAACTTTAGAACAATTAGAACATACAGAAAAAAAAAAAAACCATTTCCCTAATCTTATAATTAACAAATAACCACCAGTCACTCTTTTTGGCATTTTATATATAAAAGACATGCACACCATACATATAGAGAATAATTGGAATTGTATATATACATTTTTATATTCTGGGTTTTTTCCACTTTGCTATCATGAGCACTTTCCCGTGTAGTTAAGTTTTTGTTTTTTTGTTTTTTGTTTTAAAAGATTTTATTTATTTGAGAGAGAGAGCACACGTGCGCGTACATGAATGGTGGGGGGTGGGGCAGGGAGAGGGAGAAGCAGACTCCCCACTGAGCAGAGAGCCCTATGTGGGGCTCAGTACCAGGACCCTGAGATCATGACCTGAGCAGAAGGCAGATGCTCAACCGACTGAGCCACCCAGGCACCCCCCATGTAGTTAAAGTTTTTTCAACACTTTTTAAATAAAAGCGTATGTTCCAGCATATGGAGGTACTGTAATTAATTAAATCATCTTCGTATTGTTAACATTCTGATTCTTTTCAATTTTTGGTTATTTTTATAATGTTGGCTTGAATATTGTGGTCTGTCTTTCTGATTATTTCCTTAGAATAAATTACTAAATGATTTATTTTTTTGAAATAGCTATTCAATGCATTTTAACAATCTCATTTTTACATATCTTTCCTTTTTTTAAATTTTTAAGTAATCTCTACACCAACATGGGGCTCGAACTCACAATCCTGAGATCAAGAGTCACATGCTCTACTGACTGAGCCAACCAGGCGCCCCTCCCAGATCTTCTTACTGCTTGTCCTCACTAGAAGGAAAATGAACATTTCTGAAGGATCACTTGCATTCTAGGCCCATTCTCTCATTTCAGTGGTTCTCAAATTTTAATGGGTACAAGAATCACCTGGGGAGCTTGTTAAAAATTCCTTTTCTGAGTTCCATGCCTAGCTGTTCTGACCCCTTAGCTCTGGAGTAGGGCCCAGGAATCTGTAATTTTAATAGATTCCCCACTGTATTTGCTAGAAGCATTCTTGGAACCACGTACTAAACAGGCTTTTTAAATAAATGGCAGGGGCACCTGGGTGGCTCACTTGGTTAAGCGGCTGCTTTAGGCTCAGGTCATGATCCCAGGGTCCTGAGATCGAGTCCCGCATTGAGCTCTTTGCTCATTGGGGAGCCTGCTTCTCCTCTCCCTCAGTCTGCTGCTCCCCCTGCTTGTGCTCTCTCTCTCTCTGTCAAATAAATAAGTAAAATCTTTTTAAAAAATTAAATAAATGGCAAAACAGACTCAGAAATTTTGGTCACTCGCTAAAGCCATTCATGCATCTGGTAACAAGATTTGAACTCAGCTCTTTGTGACTTCAGAGCCATGTTTTCCCCACTTCCTTAGACCTTCTCAAGCCTTCTCATTGGTGTGCCCCTAATGACTGCAGAAAGGGAACTCTGACCCCCCTGCAGGGCTCTCGGGGGTACCTGAACTTGACGCCCAAGTACACCATGAATCTCCATTACAATCCCCCATCAGAAATTCTTTTGAATTCTGTTATGCTGCGTAACATTTGCTATATAAGACAATTTCAGTCTTTAGCTAGTTAAATTTACTTCATGTTTCCTGACCGTTCTGTGGCAACTCTTGGCTGCTGTGAAATGGGTAATGTGGGACCATCCAGCAGCCTCTTGCCTGGAGTCAGGGACTCTGCTCCAGGGTGCCCTGTGGCTTCAGGATGGGAGCGACAGTGGAAGCAGCAATTCCTTTCAGAATCAGGAGAGAGAAGCCCTGCTTTTGAATATTCAGTGGCAGAGGAGCAGAAAGTGGTGGGCATGACCAAGAGAAAGTGCCATTTATTAGAGAGGGGGCTCTTTACCCTTAGAAAAGTGATGGTGTTAGTAAACCAAAGGGAGCTAGCGTGGGGGTGAGCCTTTTTCAGGTTTTAAATGTTCCCAAAATGGAATTTTAGACCCATTTAATTTTTTCCTTCTTTTTTAAAAAATTTATTATTTTTAAGATTTTATTTATTTGACAGAGAGAGAGTGATGAGAGAGAGAGCACAAGCAGGGGGAGCGACAGGCAGAGGGAGAGGGAGCAGCAGACTCCCCACTTAGCAAGGAGCCCGATGTGGTGCTGGATCCCAGGACCCCCGAGACCATGACCTGAGTCAAAGGCAGCTGCTTAACCGACTGAGCCACCCAGGCTCCCCAATTTTTTCCCTTCTTTATTAATGTTTATTTTTCCTTCTCTTTCCCTCCTGTCTCATCAGTTTTTAGTAGTTGCCTGGGACGATGGTGAGTCTTCATGTATTTCAACTAGTATACTCTAGATCGTCGGTTATTTACCAAATTCAGCACCTGCTACTGCTATGTATCAGGTCAGTTTGAGGTCCAGGAATACAAAAAAACCCCAGTGATTCTCTTTGAGAATGAAGTTAATTTGACTGCCTTATGTTGACTTGGATTATATTCAGTCTCTTTTAAAATTTTAACTTTTAATTTTTAATTAAGAGAGAAGTTGCAAACATGGTACAGAGAAATCCCTCGACTGCCCCTAATATTAGACTGTTACATTACCATGGTTCAGTTATCAAACTATTAACTAAACTCCAGATTTTACTTGAATTTCATTAATTTTCCTAATAGTTTTTTGTTGTTGTTCCCTATTCTATCCAGAATCCTACATTGCATTTAGTTATTTCTCCTTAGTCTCTTCCATCTGAGATAGTTCCTCAGTTTTTCCTTGTCCTTCATTATTTTGACCCTTTTGAAGAGTGCTGATTAGTTATTTTGTGGAATTTAAAATATCACTAATTCATGAGGTTGATAGGTCATATCACTGGTAATACTAAACCTTATCACTTAGTGAGGGTGAAATCTGTGTTTCTCCACTGTAAACTTATTGTCTTTCCCTTTGCAACTAGTAAATATCTTGGGGGAGATACTTGAGACTATACAAACTCTGTTTATCCTCAAATTTTCACCTACTAATTTTAATACCCATTGACGGATCTTGTCTGCAACAATTCTTACAGTGGTGTTTGCCTAGTGGTGATTTTTTTCCTTCTCCTGCTTCCTTATTAATTGAGACTTTCCTGTAAGAACTGCCCTTTTCCTCCCTTTTATTTATTTGATCATTTGTATCAGTATGGACTCATGGATATTCATTTTATTCTGTGGGTTAAAATACAATGCCATCATTATTTTCTTGCCCAAATGCTTCCAATTTTGGCCATTTGGAGCTCAGTCTTTGAATTTAGATGATGTGTACTTGTAAGTGGCTGTCATCCTTACATTCCCACCCAGGGAACCATTGGGGTTTGGGCAGTGATCACTCAGAAGCCAGGTAAAGCCAGGTAAAGGAGATGAATACCAGAGGCCCAAAGAAGGTAGGACAACCTGTGTGCAAACACAGCTCTCAGGAACTCTGCAAGAGTAAAAAGAGTAGCAAAATATCAGCCTTTTCTCTTTGCTGCCCCAGAGGCCCAAGCGAGTAGGATCACGTTACTGGGGCCACATCATGCCCACTCTGAGATGCCTTCTGCTTGCAGATGGGTTTGGAAACCAGATGGGTTTGGAACGCGGAGTTGGCACTCAGTCAATAAGCAGGCTGAGCTGTCTCTTGAAAGACCATTGGACCGGTATTATAGACCCTTCACACCTCACATGTTTACTCCCAGAAACCAAGGAGACCTCATACTTGAGCTTCCTTCATGCTGGCTCCCTCTATAAGTCAGTTTTGAGGATGGCACTAAGGCTTAGAAAAAAGGGGAAGTGATTATTTTTAACTAGATCCACATCTCAAGAAGCCTAGTTAGCAGTGAGGGGCTAATTATTAAGTAATCCATAAGAATGGCTCCTTGCTTTTATAATAAATTTCTTATCTTTGGCCACATTCCGTGGGCTGCAGTTCAGCAATATTTGTCTATGATTATTCCCAGCTTGCTCCTGTTTGGGTGGGTTTTAAATCTCTCTAAAGATTTAACTCTTTAACTCTTCCTCCCTCTGTAACAGGACAGAGTGCTGGACTTGTGTGAGTTCTGGTCCTTTTCTGCTTCTAACACCATAGTACCTCTGTGGTCAGAAGCCTCTTCAGCCAAGGGAGTCTCCCTGTCAGGGGACTATTCCTCCATAAGCAGCTCTTAGAAAAACAACGTTCTCAGTCTAAATTTTCCAAGAATGAGATGGAAGCGTTGAATCACTGTATTGTATACCTGCAAAGAGTATTACACTGTGTGGTCAAGGGCAAGTTCCTTAATCTCTCTAAACCTTCATTTTTCTCTTCTATAAAATGAAGAGACTAATGATTCTTACCTTGCGAGGCTGAGAATGAGAATTAGGTAAATTAATACAAGCGATTTAACCCCAGTGCATGCCACAGAGTAAATGCACAAATAAATCACTCTTCTTATTAGCTGTTATTACTGCCTTCAGCATCAATTTCTTGTGATACTTTTGCAAGACCCAAAACACAGGCCATACTGTTTAATTGCTTCCTGAGTCAAATCTTCTCTTTTGTAGCTTGACCCAGAAACCTAACCTCCATTTATAACATTGAATCTAGAGAGAAATGCTTTCTAGGTATCCCTCGAACTAACCTAGAGCTAAATTTTTGGAATACTACCCTTCAGTAAGTAGGGGACTATCTTGAGAGGTGCTAAGATTGTTTTGTTTTTGTTTTTTCACAGCGAATTACCACATCCCTGTGTCTAATTTAAAAAAGCAAACACGGGGGGTGCCTGGGTGGCTCAGTCAGTTAAGTGTCTGCCTTGGGCTCAGGTCATGATCCCAGAGTCCTGGGATCAAGTCCCACGTCGGGCTCCCTACTCAGCGGGGAGTTTGCTTTGCCCTCTTCCGCCCCCCTGTTTGTGCTCTGTGCTCCCGCGCCCCCCCTCCCCCCAGCTAATCCCATACTCCTAATACAATTATTGTTAGCTTTGGGCTACATTTCTCTCTAGAGTTTTCTTATTTCTATAGTTTTAGTGGTAATCTTATACACATACAGCATTTATTTCTGTTTGCCTTTTTGTTTCTTAAGATTTAATCATACCTTTTTCGTGTCATTACCTGGCACAGAAAATATTTTGGTCTCCATCCTATCCATTTAACTGAGGATGTGTTTGGCTGTGAATTTGATCACTGCCCTGGCTGTATTTAGCATTTTCTGCACCCCTGTGATAACACGCTTAGAATTTGAGGAGAGAGGTGGTTGTGGCCACACAGGGAGGATGTGAGGGGAATTTCTGGCTGTCCCCCCGGGGGCCTTGCCAAGTAGCCTTCATCACCTTAGTGCATTCACTATGGTCCAGGGTGGGCCTCCAAAACTGGATTTTTGTCAATAACTAAGAGCATAGCCACCTCTCAGAGGTGAATTCATACTGTATCACCACATGCTGTACAATGAAATCAGAATGGCAGTTCATCAACTGACAGTGAGAAATAGTACAATAGCGTAGCGCTTGCGGCGGCCAACTGCTGTGTCCACCTGTCGGCCATCTTTAGTCTAGAGTCACTTAATGGAAGTAATATACCAACAACAACAGTGATGGTCACCACTTAGTTGGTGATCACTATACATCAGGAGGTGGGCTAACACTTTATGTATTAATACATTAGGTCATTCAGTCCCACATTAACCTCTCCAGGGAGAGACCGTTTTTATCCCCATTTTACAGGTGAGGAGACTGAGGCTCAGTTAAGTGACTGGCTTGAAGTGTCATGGCTGATACGTGGTGGAGCTGTAGTTTCTGTCCAAATCCAAATCCCTGATCTTCAACACTGCACTGTAGTTCTACCCGTTAGTCTTACGGATTACTGAGCCCCTGTGGTAACCCAGAGAGAAATCCCGTGATGTATAGATGGTTGGAACCCTCTGCCCCTGAAATCTCTGATTTTCTGACCTCAAAGCCCCTATTGGAAAGCTCCCATTATTGTTAGTCAAGATCCAGTGGGGATAAGTTTTCAGTCTGTGATGGCGTGAATCATTGAGGATAGGATTTCATGTGAAACAACATGTCTTTGTGATTCCTTTCAGAGGCTGCTGGAGCAGAACTACTGAGCAAAAGCAGGCGTCCCTAGTTGTGGCCAAGTGTGCCGTTGGCTTGGAAAAGTTGAGCTTGAAGCTTCCTCCCTGTGGTGAAGGGGAGAGATACATATTGCTCACAGAATAACAGACATGGGCTTCCTACTGACTTTCCACCTTTCCTACAAAGTCCGGTTATTGTTGCTTTTTCTCTTATGCCTGACAGTTGTTGGGTGGGCCACCAGTAACTACTTTGTGGGGGCTATTCAAGACATTCCTAAAGCAAAGGACTTCATGGCTCATTTCAACAAGGTTCTGGTTTGGGGGAAGGAAGAAACTCTGATGAAGCAAGACTCCGTGAAAGAAGCAGACCTGGAAGACTGCCCTTCTGTGTCTCCTTACCTCAGTAAGGCTTTTCGCTTTTTCTTGTTTACAAGTGCTGTGTAAACTTTTTAGTTAAATATAACATATGTACAGAAAAGCACAAAAATCAGAAGTGTGCAGCTTGGCGAAGTTTCACAAAGTGAACATACGTGTGTGATCAGTATGTAAATTAAGAAATGGAATCCCCTAGAGCCCCGGAAATTCTCATGCTTCTTTCAGTCATGACCCTTACTTCAAGATTCCAACACCAGGCATTAGATTTTTCCTGTTTTTTAAACTTTACATAATTAGAAACATGCACTATGGTCTCTTTTGTGTCTGGCTTCTGTCATTCAGCATTGTGTTTGTGAGATGTATCCATACTGCTGTGTGCAATCCGTCTTCCATTATATGAACATACCCAGTTTTATTACTAAGCCACTTCAGCCTCAGAAGCACACGTCAATGGGAATGTATTTAGTTCACAAGTCTGCCAGATGAACTGGGGGTCCGTTGATCTAGGCCAGTGGCTCTGCTCCATGGGTCTCACATTCTCCTCCTGGGACCAATGAGCTAGCCTGGGTCTGTCCTCCTGACATCCACAGGGCACAGGTGGAGAAATCCACTCCTGTCACATCTGTTAGCATTCCCTTGGCTGAAAGTATGGAGTCAAGGGACAAGACCGAGTGGGTTTTTCAATGTTGTCTTTAGTGTTTATTTCTTTAATAGTGTTCTGATTCCCCTTGGATGTCTTGCCTTTCTATTTAAATTAACAGTAAGTTGGTTTTATTGAACACATTGATTAGAGAGGAAAAACTCCACAGTGATATTAGAAATAACCCACAGAGATTCTGTCAGGCCTCTGATTCTCCAGACCATCAAAGTGCTTGTAGTTCTCCAGATACTCCTCTGAGCCTTAAATTGTTTCCTCTTTCCAGACTGCCTTTCCTCAATCTATGTCTGCCTGGCAGATTCCTGTTTGTTCACCAAAAATCTGATTTAGATTCTTCTCTCTCAGAAAAGTACATACACTAAAGTAGCCCTCCGTGGGGGTGGCTTCTTGCTCTTAGCTGAACAAACACCTGCAGACCCTCTCTCCTAATTGAATCACAGTCTTGTACTGTGTTCCTAGGGGCATACTGCTTCTTTTTACTCAGTCATGGAAAAGCCAAAATATGATTCCTGATCGTGTTGTGAGGGAAATTGTTCTGCTCACAGTGATACAAGTTCAGATGGGAGAATGAGTTGTTGAAAGGCAAATCTGACTGTGTTATCTACCTTGTTCAAAATTCTCACAATATATTTAAGTGATAAAAGTATTCATAAAAATAAAATGGGCAGTGACCCAGTACTGAGGAAGTCCCTGGATTAAGAGGGTGACAAAAGTAGTGATGAGTTAAGATGGGCCGAGAAGGGACAGAATTGGAGAAGATGCTGTGGGTGGGGCAGGGAGGCTGATAGAGGGGGCGGAAGCAGGCACTGTAGAAGTTTAGGGCACCTACAAAGTTAGGACAATGAGAAAGTGAGCAAGGGGACTCGTTTGTATCAGACCGGTTGCATGGGGCTCTTTCAGGGGCCAAGAATAGAGGCTTAGGTTAACGCAGATGGTGGGCTTGTTAATGGGCTGTTTGGGAAACCATCTCAGCAGCCGCACCATCCTCCTCCCAGCAGCTCTGGTAGCTTGCCTTTTACACAACTCATTTTCCTACTGGTGGCTTTTCGGGCATCGCTGCCTGCCAACTCTGTGCCTCACACCTTCAGGAAAGGCTCTTCCTTATAGGCCAGTTAGTCTCTCTCGGTGGCTAGAAGCCGTTATTTGCCCTTGGTGCTGCTGGGCTGAGCCTTTCAACCACCTCACGGACCCTGGCGCCCGGTCTACACAGCCATGGCCAGGGCAGGGGTGGTCCCACGGAGCCAGGCCTGGTGACTTACACATTGGAAGGGCCTGTGACTGCCTTGCTCCAGAAGGGAGGGCGCAGCGTGCCAGCATCTTGAGATGTTACAGCCTGACTGGTGTATATGGAGTTTGAAAAACGCAGGGCTGAGTTCTCTGACCAGAGCTCTGCCTCCTCTCTTATCAGTCAGTATTCCCAGTTAATTCAGATTGAGGACGAGGGCCCGTGGCTTGCACCTGATCTACGACGCCTTGCACGAGGTTGGTCACCACGCACGGCCTCGGGTTTCATCCAATCAGGCTGTGTCCAGACTCGCTGGGCAAATGCAGCGTTGGGGGATGTCAGCTACCGGGGTCCAACGGGAGAATTAGGATATTGCCCATGCATGCTGTGCTGGGTGAGGCGTGAGGCTCGTTGCTGTTTCCTTTCATGGTTTTATCTTCAGTGAGCTATGATAGCTTCCAGGAGCTCAGGGACAGAGTGGGAAATGGCCTTGCCCCTGAGCTTGATTCCATGGAATGCGTCTGATTTTTAAGGGACTTTACCCTCCTTTGGAATTTTGAGAAGGAAAAGAGGATTTGAGCAATTTGAAGTTACTTAGTCTAGCCCTGACCTCTACTCTTTACCAGGGCCACTGGGACAGGACGCATCTCCTCCTCACGGATGAGTCACAAACCCCGAGTTGGTTACCCAGCCACAAGAGAATGCTCTTATGTGTCACTTACTTCCTTTTGCAGCCAGTAACCTGGGTCACATGACTCTGGTTACAGTTCATGACCGAACGAGGCTTTTAAAGTAATAATAATAAAAGCCAGCACTCCTATGGTCCTCACCGTGGGCCAGATAGTGTTCTAAGTGCATTAGGTAAATGCTCATGGACCCCATCAGCCCTTGATGAGGTAGTTACGGTTATTTCCTGGGTCCTGTTTTTATTGTAGGGGGCCAGAACAAGCTTGTTTTCAAACCAGATCTCACTCTGGAAGAAGTGGCGGCAGAAAATCCCCAAGTGCACAGAGGCCGGTATCGCCCTGAGGAATGTAAGGCTTCGCAGCGGGTCGCCATTCTCATTCCTCACCGGAACAGAGAGAAACACTTGATGTACCTTCTAGAACACCTTCACCCCTTCTTGCAGAGGCAGCAGCTGGACTATGGCATCTACATCATCCACCAGGTGAGTGGTCTGGTCTGCCCCCCCCCCACCCCCCAGGTCCTCCTCTCCCTCTGGGATGAGACTGAGGGACTTGGCCATTGGTGTCTCTTGGGTAAAAGGAGCATCAAACTCATTGAAGAAAAGGTCTCCTACCTCATTTATCCATGAAAGGGGTAAAGGAAATTCTTGTCTAGGAGTGTGGAATAATCAGACTAAACGCTGGGAAATTTTATTGCCTCTTAAACGAACCTCTGGAGGAAGTCTGTTTTGTTTAGTTTAGTTTAGTTTTGTTCTGCTTTTTGTGTGTGAGCCCTTCCATGTTAGCCAATGACCGCCCAAAGAATTTCCCTGGAGATTTGCCTTGTATTTCCTCCTGCCTTTGCTAGACGCTACATGATGAGATGTTGGAATTGTTTTCCATTTTGAGCATGGCTAATCAGTGGGGATCTAGGCAGAGGATCCGACAGATTACTGTATTAATAGCCATGAGGTTCTATAACTGTCTCCATCTTTCTGCCTATAACTTCTATTGTATCAAATGGATTATGTTTAGTTTTCACTTTCTTGACTCCCTTATTTGGCTCCCAGAAGCGTGATTCATTAGGAGCACTGTAAGTGGTAAGCTTGGGCTGCTTTTGAAGAATTTAGCTCTAAGTAGAGATGCCTGTATTTGGTATTAATGTTTATCGAAAGAAAAGGCATCAACTTAAATATCCATGTCTAGCTTTCCAGGATTGTCCCAGACCATTCAAATAATTCCCTTCAAATCCTTACAGATGCCAAAAATGTCAACAAAATCATTCACTACATATTTAATATTGTTTTATAATTGGTAATATATGTTTTAGGAAAACTTGACAAATCAGAGGATGCAGTTCTGCAGTATATACTTTAAAATAAACGGGGGCTCTTGAAATCAATGTGCATATATAATACACCCATTTTTTAGGATTTGAAACAAAATTTTACTATTACTGGTTTATAATTTTTTTAAAAATTATTTATTTATTTGTTTGTTTTTTTGAGAGAGAGAGTGCACGCAAGCAGGGGAGGTGCAGAGGGGGAGGGAGAGGGAGAGAATCTCCAGCAGACTCTGCATTGAGCACAGAGCCTGAAGTGGGGCTTAATCTCAGGACCCTGAGATCATGACCTGAGCCAAAACTAACACTCACTCAACTGACTGAGCCACCCAGGCACCCCTATAATTATTTTTCTTTTTAACATTATTGGTCATTCTCAGTTCTTACTCAGGACAGCACCCCCAATATGTAGTATATTTGTGACTAGAAAAATATGTCTGCTTGGTGTTACTCTTTTCATGAAAATACTGTGGTAACTTTTGAGAACTGCTTGTATTTTCTTTATGATAAACTCTTTATTAAACTGGAATTTGTTCTTAAGGATTATGATCCAAACAGCCATGAAAAAATTAATTCTGTAAACTCTTTTTCATACTATAGCTTTGTTCATATAACTGGTTGAATTGTGTTCTCTTCTTACTCAGTGATGAATCCCTTCTGTAAGGTCACTATGGGGATTGCCTCCTTTTTTTTTTTTTTTAAGATTTTATTTATTTATTTGAGAGAAAGAGAGAGTGAGTGCAAGTGGTGGGGGGAGGGATGGGGAGTAGAGGGAGTGGGACAAGCAGGCTCCACATGGGGCTCAACATGGGGCTCAATCCCATGATGCTGGAATCGTGACCTGAGCCAAAATCAAGAGTCTGACACTCAGCTGACTGAGCCACTCAGGTGCCTCAAGGATTACCTTCTGCCATTAAAGATTAAAACAGGATTCTCTTACAGTGCTTCTAAGAAACTTTTAAGTAGCTTAGAAATATTAGCAATAACCTCTGTTTATAAGTCCAGATTTCTTGGTCTTTTCTAGTGAGCAATGTCTTTTGGAAGCTTAGTGTAAATTTGTTACATACGGTAAGATTGGGATCAGCTGGAAGTTAGACAATAAAGCAGGATACTAATTGGTATGACTAATGTATAAAGAAGGTTTATACTTTTATGTGGAATAAATAAATGTATGTTTTAAAAAAAATTCTGAGTTATTTTTATTTGTAGTTTAAAGCCATGACCTTTTTAAAATTGTGAAATATGAAATTTAGTGTCTTAACTTTTTTTTAAAATTTCTGATCAAACCATTTTATTGAAGGGCTTCAGGGCAAAGTCAGTGGGCTGGGAGAACGATGAGATCTGATGTCCTCAGCCCTGCCAGGATCTCTCCTGGTTCATAGTCACTAAGAGTGCATCTTAACTGTTTTTAAGTATACGGTTCAGTGGGGTGAAGTGTATTCACGTTATCGTGTAACCAGTCTCTAGACATTTCTCAGCTTGCAAAACTGAAACTCTGTACCCATTAAACAACTCTCCATTTTAAGGCATGTTTGTCACTTTTGGAATATAAGTATATATGAAAGAACACAAAGAAACCAAATGGTTTTTTACTGTTACTGCATCTACTCTGTCAGATTTTTACTTGGGAAGAATAATTCCAACTCCTGCCTCTGAGGCTGGAGAGGGGCACAGTGTGAAACCTTATCTCTGGAGCTTTCCAAGTTTTAATTTCTGTATCTATAGGCTGGAAGCAAAAAGTTTAATCGAGCCAAGCTCTTGAATGTGGGCTATCTGGAAGCTCTCAAGGATGAAAATTGGGACTGCTTTATATTCCACGATGTGGACCTGGTGCCCGAGAACGACTTGAACCTCTATAAGTGTGAGGAGCAGCCCAAGCATCTGGTGGTCGGCAGGAACAGCACGGGGTATAGGTAAGCGGGAAGGCGGTGCCGCTCAAGGCTTGCTCAGGCTCAGAAGCTCGCTCTGTTGTCATCAGGGCTGTGTGGGACGTAGTGTCCAGACTATCAAAGAAAAATGAGGAATAGGAAAAATGATGCATGACCTATCACTTAAGTTCAAAACAGGAATCACAATAGTCTTGGCAGAGGATGAAGGACAACAGGGAACGAACAGGAGAGGGAAAGCAGGCCAAGCATTGCAAATGACAGCCAGCCCCACCCACGGCACCCCCCTGGTGGAACTTTGCCAGTAAGTCCACACTGAGTAGAACTCAAGTCACTTGCCTGGCTATCCTGACTTCCCCTTCCAGGAGGCAACAAGAGTGTGCCCGTTAGGTCAAACTTTAGGTCTCTGCTATGAGATCATGACATTTCTTTTCAGACTGTGGCATCTTCCTAGGGTCTGAGGGAGACAGAGCTGCCATGGAGGTGCGTCGGTTTGGCACGTCTACAAATCCAACTGTAAGCAGTTGGTCACGATGGGGAAAGAGGAGGAGGCAGGCAGAGAATTACACAATTATAACACGGGCGATTGCACCATTGTCTCCTCTGGGAAGGGAACATGAGATGGAAACCACGAATCCCTTGATACTGTGCTTAATCTCAGTTTCCACGCTGCTCAGATTTTGTAGGTCTCTCACTTTGGACTGTAAGAGAGTTCCAAGAGTTACATCTCAGGTTATTTTTGCCTTAGGTACTGACTTTAAACCCAATCCCTATGTAAATTGTGGGATATAAACAAATACCTAGACTAAGCCACAATGGGTGGGCACACAGCAGGGCACTTCAGGGCCACAAGCAGCAATTTCTTAAAGAAAGAAACACTTACGGAAAGGTTTAAAGCTCTTCCCCAGGGAACGTGGCCCCTTTAGCATGTGCAACAATGGGAGCTTCCCAGTAGAGTTCCAAGACATGGAAATGAGAGAGCATGGTATGGTTTTGGGGAAATGCATGTAGTTTATCAGTGCTCAAGAATGAATGTCCGGGATGGTGGAGGAAAGAGAGGCAAGAGATGGGGGTAGGCAGGGGCCAGATTAGGCAGGCCTCGTTCAGTCTGCTAAGGAATTTGAATTTCTTATGGAAGGGACTGAGGGGCTTCTGACACCTGGATACAGCTGAAGAATGACAGGAAAAGCTCAGTACGGCTGGCCTTTAGTGTAGTGGGTGGAGCAAGGCCGTAGGGGAGAAGCTGAGAGAGGAGATGCCATGCTCCCGAATTTGGCAGGGGACAGTGGGACCAGAGGGCAGGGGAGCAGTCTGGAAGAGAATTGTAGGATTTTTTCCTTTGGGGAATTTTATCATGATCCTTTCCTGGAGGTTTTGCTTTCTGGTTTCCTTGAGCCACCTGTGCATGAAAGAAAGCAACGTATTATATTGGGGTATCTTGGTGTTTTCAGAAGCATGTCAACAGTCTACATAAAATTAATAAGGTATCACCGTGTAGAACACAGCACACCTGTACTTTGGACCCTTCTATAGACAACTTCCTGTGGCCCAGTTCTTTCTGCACATCTGTGATGAGAAATTACAACCACACAGGATTGTTTTTGTTGTTTATTTTTGGAGTGTGGACACAAGGGATTGTTTAAAGGCTTTTTATTGGGATTCTAGATTTTTATTTTTCATTTTTTTTTTTATTCAGCTGGACCACAAGAAACTAAGTTCTTGGGGTTTCCTGCTAGAAATTAAGTTTGAATAAAACCTCAGGGCCACAAGCAGCAATTTCATCAGATGCTGCTCATTCTAAAAACAGCCCCTGCATGAATCTTGATGTTTTTGATTTGCTATTGTCACTGGCCAGACATTTCTTTCGTAACTAGATATCAGAAAGCCTTTGCCTTTTTTGAGTAACTGGCAGGGTTTTCTTAATATGAATCAGGTGATTTCTTCTGTAACTAGATATCAGAAAGCCTTTGTCTTCTTTGAGTAACTGGCAGGGTTTTCTTAATATGAATCAGGCGATTGAGTGTGTCTCCTCTTTTGATCTGGATGTAGGAAGCTCTGAGCCAAATCCATTGGCTTCTTTTAGAAGCTGAAAAGAATCTTAATTGTAGATCAGACTTCTAATATATTTCCTATTTTAATCTTCTGTTTTAACTTTTCCTCTGGTCCTGGATATTTGTCATTTATATTTTTCTACTTTATTTTTTTTTTAAGATTTTATTTATTTGACAGAGAGAGATAGTGAGAGCAGGAACACAAGCAGGGGGAGTGGGAGAGGGAGAAGCAGGCTTCCCGCCGAGCTGGAAGCCTGATGTGGGACTCGATCCCAGGACCCTGGGATCATGACCTGAGCCGAAGGCAGACGCCTAACCATCTGAGCCACCCAGGTGCCTCCTATTTTTCTACTTTATTGTATATATCGTGTAAACTACCTCATCTTCTGTGTCCCAAGTAACGTAGGAGTTGCCCTCATCCCCCTCCCCTACTTCTTACCTTTGCTATTTTGAGCAAAATCCCTCTAGTTGCGGGCCAAAGGGCAGGTGGGGTTGCAGGCAGCTAAATGTCTGCTCTCTGCTGGTCACTATGTTACACTGTGTCACAGAGCTTGAAACGCACATGCTTTTGATCATTGTGACTGCCGCCCCAAGAGTGTGATGAGAAGTACAAGAAAAGTTTTCACTTCATGCACATGCAGAGGAAAGAACTTAAAGGAACTTGCCCCCGCTGTCTCAGATTCTGATGAGGCCAGAAATAAATCTTTATCTCACGACTGTGGATGTGATAAAGCCCTGGTCCAGCCTGTGGCACATTTTACTGCCAAGAGTTCCTTTGGTACCTAACTGCTTTCTACAAGGACGCTTGTAGATCAGACTGTTTGATTTGGGCCTTATGCTGCTGTTATTTTAGCGCTGCATTCCCCCCACCCCTTGGGCCTTACAGCCCTTTAAAAATAAATAAGACTCGGGGCGCCTGGGTGGCTCAGATGGTTAAGCGTCTGCCTTCGGCTCAGGTCACGATCACAGGGTCCTGGGATCGAGTCCCACATTGGGCTCCTGGTTCAGTGAGGAGCCTGCTTGTCCCTCTGCCTCTCTCCCTGCTCATGCTTTTTCTCTCTCTCTCTCTCTATCTCTGTGTCTCAAATGAATAAATAAAATCTTTAAAAAAAAAAAAATAAGACTGTTCCAGGGCCAATTAAGTGGTCACGCTTTTCCCGATCTGAAGAAAAGCAAAAGCAAAGATCGACAAACAGATAGACATTGGCCATTTGAGAAACAGCTGCGAAACTGAGAGTTCCTCGACCCTTCTTTCTGGCCAGTGTCCTTCTGTGCCTCCCATTGCAGCTACACAGCTCTCCAGGTGCTCCCAGGCGGCTCGCATTCGTCTCTGTCTTCATTCTTCCTCTTGGAGTTCTGGCCACCAGGAGTTTCCCCATGTTCCTACCTACTGAGTCCTCACAGGCCCACCTGCCCCCCTGCATGCCATCTCCTTCCTCAGAACCCTGATGACGCTCGTGTCTTGTGTGAGACCGGAAGCTCTTGGAGGGCAGGGCCCAGCTGTTCCCACATCTAGCTTGCTGTCTTGCACACGGTGGCTCATGGCTCCTTAATCGATCACAGCCAGATCAGTAATGGCGGTTCTCTCCTGGTGACCCACGGTTGGTGCCTGGCAGGCTGTGTCTGGGCAGGGCCGCTATTCAGTGTTCGGATGAAGTTTCTGGTCGGCAGGGCCTTAAGGATGCCTTCCCAGAGGCTTCTGGGTGGCTCAGTCGCTTAAGCATCTGCCTTCGGCTCAGGTTATGATCCCAGGGTCCTGGGATCGAGCCCCGCATCGGGCTCCCTGCTCAGCCGGGAGCCTGCTTCTCCCTCTCCTGCTCCCCCTGCTTGTGTCCCCTCTCTCACTGTGTCTCTCTCTTCAAATAAATAAATAAAATCTCTAAAAAAAAAAAAAAAAGAACGATGTTTTGGCTGGTAACAGCTGCCTTTTGAACACTTTGTTCCTTTTGCTTATTTTAGGTTGTTGTGATACCATTTTCTAGAATTTTAGGTTGAGGGGTTACAAGTAAGTCTATTTCCATTGTGGGTTAAACAGGGCCTCCCTGTCTATACTCAGAACATAGAAACAAACAGCTGAACTACAAATTAGCCTTTGGAACTCCACCTGTCAGATGGCAAGTGTCTACGTGTTTATTGGTCTTTCCTTTTGGTTTTTCTTGTCTAGAAAAGCAGAAATATTTAATTGGTCCTAGAACACTTGGAACTGAAGTTAATTCAAATTAGAAATCCTCCATATGTTTGTATCTTTTTGTTCAGTAACATCCAAGTTACTAAGCTGCCTTCATTTGCATTTCTAAACTGTTACAGTGTTATATTCAAGGGTTGTCTTTTTTTTCTCAGATTTGCTAATTTGTCAACCAATAATCCATCAGAGTCCTATACGACTGAAAGATGCTCTCTGCCTCGTTCCTCTTGATCTCTTCCCCGCCCCCTTTTGCTTATCGGCATCCCCACAGCTCTACCATCTGCACTCTCCTCCTCTCACCTACTGTGTGGTCTTCAGGCAATTTCTCCTGCTCCTACATCTTCACCCACCACCTCTTGACATCTTCGTTCCAAAGCCATATCTGTTGCTTTTCTCCTTTGAACTTGGATCTTACGTCCTTTTGCCCACCAGCAAAAGCACTAGGGGTATCTCACATTTAGCTTACCCCAAACATAATTTACTGTCTTCCTCTTATTGTTCCATATACTCTATTTCTGTTGAAAGACTGTATCATCTATCTTGTCGCCCAAGCCAGAAGCCTCAAGATTGCTGAGGTGTGTTGGCTTCTCCAGGACACAGACTCGGAGATGGAACTTTGCATGCACGGAAGTGGAGTTTGCACACAAAGTGTGTGCAGGAGCTGTCTCCTCTCCACCCCACCCCGCCAAAAAAAGTAAAAGTAAAAAACCAGTATATTCATTAGGGCATTCATTCATGCTGGACCTGGAGGCAGCCTCAGGATCCTTCCCTTCCCAGTGCCCTTGGCCGCCATTACTCCTCACTGGATTGGCACATGAGATGAAACCTGTCATTCAGCTCTGATGTTGTGGTGCACGTTTACAGGTACCTCTGTAGACCTCTGCACACGAACATTCACAGTCACAGGTGGGGAGCACTTTGCTTAGTGAGCGGACGTGAGTGCTTATCTAGACAGAGGAAAGAAGGCCGACAGGGAAGGCCGGAACCCTGGGAGGTGGAGGTCAAGCAGGAGCGGATGGATGAAAGTGCACGGTCTTCAGCATGTTCCTAGAATGCCAGCCCTGACACGAGAGACTTCTGAAGAGTGTGTGGAGAACAAAATGGCCTGGTGCTAATGTTACTGTGTCTCTCCTCTCTTCTGCTCCAGGTTACGTTACAACGGATATTTTGGGGGTGTCACTGCCCTCAGCAGAGAGCAGTTTTTCAAGGTGAATGGATTCTCTAACAACTACTGGGGATGGGGAGGCGAAGACGATGACCTCAGACTCAGGTGAACAACAGGGGCAGGTCCCCTTCACGGGGCTCTGCTGTCTCTGGTGGCTCTAGCAACCTGCGCTTACCGATAGTTCCCGTAGATGCCAGGCCAGCAGGTCTTGAGGCTGCAGAGTTGGGCAGGAAGGGGGGCGGGGGCAGGGGGAGGGCAGGCTGGCCCAGATTGCTGTTCGCCACTGGCAGTTCAGAAATGATGGAGGGTCGTTTGTTTCTGGCTCCCGGGTGTTTGGGGACCAGAAATGTTGATGGAGGTCTCTGCACTTGCTGGTGGGTATTATTTACGGAGACAGGGTCCAAAATGCTGCAAAACTGCAGTTTGAGGGAAATGGCCGGAGAGCCTGCTGTAAGCCGTGCTTTTCCCCAGACCCAAGGGAATCCTGGCTCGGTTCTCAGTTTCCAGAGCAGAGAGTGCCAACAGCCTGTGAGGAGTGGCACCCCCAGGCTCAGGCCAAGAGGTCCTTTCGTGCTTATGCCTTAGCCAGCCCCACACACCAGGAGCAGTTGCTGGCCTGGCTCCCAGGCCAGACTTGGGCTGTTGGCATCACCCTCAGATTTTCTTGGACTACTTTCTGCTTGAGGGGCTCAAAGGGAGCATATCTGGCCTCTTCTCTCAGCTCACCCCCCCCCCCCCCCGCCTTGGGTTTTGTGACTAGAGAGTTATGGGTATCCCTAACTCCCCAAAATAACTATGCAAGAGCCTGAGGCTAGTATCTTCAGACTTCTAATAACAAGGCCCTTTGGGCTATTAGGAGACCCCCCTTTTCTCCTACTGTTGCTTCTTAGAAAGGAAATTTCCTAGCTGGGATTCTGAATTAATAGATGTGTGACTGCCAGAAATTTTCCATCGCTTTAGCATGAAGGAGCCAGGGTTCCGTGTTGGTCTTGTTCCCATGTCTAGGCTGAGAGTCTCTGGAATGTTTCTGGCAGGAGAGAATGGATTTCCCTCACTGAAGGCTCCACAGGAATAGTCATAGTGATGCGCAACAGTACTTTATGGCCCAGCCCATCAGCAGCCTGTGTGGCCTTGGCTTGTGAAGGAGACAGAGGGTACCTGATGGGTTTCAGGGCGAGAGTAGCAAGGACTAGAGATAAACAGTATCCACTGTCTTCCCCAAATCCATTTCACTGTCCAGATGGGATGCTTAGTAGAATTTTGCACATTTCATGTAACTTCTCTATCTTCTTGATCCTCCTCAGCTGCAAGGTAGAGGGGAGACCCCAGTTTTGCTTTCATTTGAGAAGAACATTCTGACCTCCAGCGTGGTTCTTGACTAATGAATAAACCAATGATTTGAATATAAAAGTTGGCTAAGATTTATTTACTAAACATTAATTTACTCCCCTGGGCAACAGGCACCACCCTTGTCTGGACTTCCATATTATGTTACTGTTTGCAAAGCGTGTTGCATGTGGACTGTTTGATTTGGGCCTATCATATCACCTCTATAACACCATTGCCATTTTACAAAGAAGCAACCAAGACCCGGAATCATGAACTGACTTACCCAAACTGTAAATAACAAAGTCTAGATTTATACCTGCATTTGTGGACTTTTAAGCTTGGGACCTTAAATGGTCATTACTGTCTTTGTTAAAAAAAGGAAACACTAAGTAAATTAGGCATCCGAAGAGACTTGATTCTCCTACTTGTCACGATGTTTTAAAAATAATTAGAATGAGTACTTTCTCAGGTGTTTTGGAAAATGACAAACTATAAATTGACACATCTCCTTTGTACCCCAATATTAATGTTAAATGTGATTCTTTTATGGACTTACTGCCTGAGGCCCAACATCATAAGATTTTTTTTTTTAAAATATTGTAATAATCAAACTCTGTGTGACTGCGTGTGTGTGCATATGTGTAAATTTTTGCAAATGATTTTTTTAAGTGCCTGGTGGTAGATAAGTAGGATAGACTTTAAAAAAAGAACTCTGTTATTCTTCTAGGGTTGAGCTTCATAGAATGAAAATAATCCGGCCAATGCCTGAAGTGGGTAAATATACAATGATCTTCCATACTAGAGACAGAGGCAATGAGGTGAATATAGAACGGTAAGTCTTGGATTCACATGCCAGGCTTGCACCTGCTTAGTGTCTTTTGTCGATAAGGACTCTGCTGAATTCGATCAGATGAGTCCGTTTGTTTTGTTCAAAGCTTTTCATTAAGGTCATTTTCAAACAGTCACAAAAGTAGAGGGAATGGTATATTGAACCCTCACGTACCACATACCTAGCTTCAGCAGTTACCAACTCATGTCCTCTCTTCTTTCTCCCACCTTCTCCTCCTCCCCCACTAGATTTTTAGAAGCAAATCAGATATCACAGCAGTTTATGTGTAAATACTTCGGTATATATCCTTAAATATAGGAAGTCTTAAAGGAAAAACCACTATAGCATTATCATTCCTAAATAAAATTAACAGTACTTCCTCAATATCATCAGATATCCAGTTAGTGTTTGGATTTCCCTGATTATCTCATAAATTGTTCTTCCCCCCTTGACGGTTGGTTTATTCAGATCAGGATCTAGACAAGGTCCACACATTGCATTTAGATGAACTCTCTGAAATCTCTTAATCTGCAGATTACCTCTCCCCTACTTTTTTTCCCCTGGCATTTTATTTGTTGAACAAACCAGGTCATTTGTCTGTTGGAATTTGCTACCTTGTGGATCTTGTGAATTGCATCCCGGCAGTAAAACTTCATATGTGCCTCTGACCTTGTAAATGGGAGTTTGATCCTGGAGGCTTGAACGGAATCCAGTACAATTTGGGGGCAAGAACACTTCATCTATGGTGCCACGTAGCTCCTCTTGTATCACAACAGGAAGACATGATGTCTGGTTGGGTCTTTGTATTCTAGCTTTGATCTTTGGGTTTAGGTGTTGTCAGCCCCATCCAGGTTCCCCATCAGCGTCTAATGATCTTAGCAGCCTCAGTAGGAGATTGCAAAATTCTGATATTCTGTCATGCCTTCTGCATTTATTAGATAGATTTTTCAGCAAAGGACTTGCCTTCTTACTTGAGTACACCAAGGTATGGTTGTTATAGAAAGGGCAGAATGAAGGGGCAGAATCAGTACTGATTTTTCATTTTTCAAAATGATGAGTTGCTCTTCTCCAGCATCCTTCAAGATGTAGTTAATATTCCTTTCAGTGCTCAGTTTGTCTCATCTTTGGCGAGGGGCATCTTCTTCAAGTGCCTCCTCAATCCTTTGACATAACTACACTAGTTTTGAGAGCCCCCTTCCCTGGGCGCCTGTGTGCTGAGCTGTTCTAGGCCCATCCTGTGCTTCTCTTGCCCCAGGAATTGGCCCTTTGACCAAAGAATCCTGGCAGATAAGCCGCTTCTTTTGGGGGCCGTAGTTGAAGAATCTGCAATTCTTTGTTCTGATTTTTCCTTCCAAATTTTAAAACCATATTAAAGTGCTTTTAGCCCTTTTGTTGGAATCTACATTTTAAAACAATATTAAAATATTATAGGGCTTTGTCAGAGTTTATATTTTAAAACAATATTAAAAGGCTTTAGCCCTTCTGTTAGAATCTGTGACTTTAATAAAACTTCTGTTTTCCATGCGTCTTTCTAGTCTTTGTCCATAGGGGTGCATTTTCTTCTCTTAAATTATAAGGGGCACCTGGGCGGCTCAGTCGGTTAAGCATCTGCCTTCAGCTCGGGTCATGATCCCAGATTCCTGGGATCAAGTTCCGCGTTGGGCTCCTTGCTCAGCAGGGAGCCTGCTTCTCACTCTGCTTGTGCGCTCTCTCTCTCTCTCTCTGACAAATACCTAAATTAATTTTAAAAAAACAATAAAAAATAAAAAATAATAGTAATAATTATGGAATAGATACAGAAGGATACTTATAAATTATTTGAAAAGTCTGAAGATTCTTGATACCATGAACAGTGGTAGTGTCCCCCACCCAATTTGTTTGTTACACGTGTAACCCTCCTCAATCCCATTTCCCCCCACCCAAGAGGTCACGTTTTCCTGGATTTTTGTGACAATTACTTGTGATGATGATAATTATTTCTGCTGTTTCTTTGTTTTTGTTGTTTTCCCATAGGTGGGTATCCCTGTACAAAAGATTATTTAGTTTTATATGTTTTCCAATTTTATATAAGTGAAATCATACTATTGCATTTTTCTCTGACCTTACTTAGTTCAACACTGTGTTTCTGATCTCCGTCCACACTGATACTGTAACCGAAATGTATTGCTTTTCATCCAGAGTTCCTAGAGACCAGTTCAGTTCACCACCTGCTCCACTCCCCACATGCCGGGCCTCCAGCCATGGAATTGTTGCTGCTTCTTGAAATGCATCCTGCTACTTTGCATGTCTCTGCGTCTGGCACAGGGTGTTGTCCCTGCCTTCGTGTCCTTTCCCCTCACCTTTCTCCTCTTCTAAGCCTCGGCCATATTCCCTTTCTCTGCACCCCTCCCTCGACTCCCTCATGAAGTCAGGTGCTGCTTCATTTATCCTCTACATAAATTCTAACTTTGCTTGAGACTCTGAGCTATGTACCCTCCTGCCTATAGACAACAACATGGGAGGATTCCTAGATCCCCTGAAGCTTAGCCCAGGCCCTGTTAGCAGTGGATGGCACATATCACATTGTATTGGTGTTACCTGGGCATCCTTCTGTCCTGTAGACTGGGTGCATTTGTCCCTAGGGTCTTAACATGGGGTCTGACACGTGACCACGTGGCTATCATTGGTGTCTGTTACTTCAGATGGGGAAAATTAACTTTTTGCAGTAGGAAACCCAGTAGGTACAATAATTTACAAAGATGCTTTTGTCAAATTTGGGGGCAAGGCAAAAAGCAATGGAAATACATGTTAAATTCTTGCATTATGATTTACATTGTTCTTTTTATCTTTAGGATGAAGCTCTTACATCAGGTGTCACGAGTCTGGAGAACAGATGGGTTGACCAGTTGTATTTACAAATTACTCTCTGTGGATTATAATCCTTTGTATACCAACATCACAGTGGATTTCTGGTCTGGTGCATGACCCTGGATCTTCTGGTGACATTCGGAAGAAGTGAACATTTTATTGCAATAATTTTGGACTAGAGACTTTCCTTAGTAGCACATGTTAAGAACTGGTCGCAGCTAATTACTGAGCTGAATTTTTCCTTTCTGTATTTTCTTAGCAGAGCTCCAAGTAATACGGACTGTAAAACAGTTATAAGAAGACAGCTTTCGTGGTTGGTTTGCTCCTGGGGGTTATTAAAGACTGTAATACACATACTTGAAGGGCTGAGTCTAAAAGGACTACTCAAGGGATAACATGAAGGCTACTTGAAAACGTGGACTGAAGGAGATTTAAGTTTGAAGTGATACATGATGGGATCAGAAAAGCCACGGGAAGTAGGGTTGCTGAATGTTCCAGAGAACCGGAATTGTTCTCATCTGAGGTAGAAAGGTACGAAGAAGTCCGTCTGTTTACTCTTTTATCCTGCATGGTCATCTGAGAAGGGGTGGGTCCCTGGTGAGAAGAAGGCCACAGAAGGGAGGAGAAAGGTGAAGAATCAAGACGCAGTGAACTTGGGCATAAATGGCTGGAGGGAGGCCGGGGTTGGAGGAGCAACCCCCAATGTGCTGGGTGCCCTGCTCTGTGGCGGGCGTCACCTGCCCACATACACCTCCCAGGAATAGCCCAGCAGGACACACGTTACCTACTAGTTTTTAAAGTATTTTTGTAAAATGATTTTGTACCTGCAGGATGTGAATTAGCAGTTTACAAATTACCTATTAACTAGTCATAGATCGAAAGTACCTCTGGAGTAAAATAATGAAAAAAGCTTTGGGTGCTCCATCTTGGTTTTTCTCTGTTGTTTGAGGCCTATGGATGTGTTCATTACAGCATTCTTAATCCTCAGTGGTTTAGAAACACACATTGGACTGAGCCCCCCTCACCCCCTCTCTTCTTGGTCCTCCTGTTCCTTTCTCCTGTTCTTCCTGTGTGCAGCCCCTTTGAATAACCAGCTCCAGGCCTGTGGCAGGTGCATCTGCATCTCATTTCCTGGGCTGCATCATGCTTCTGTTCTCTTCGTCCTCTTGTGCTTGCTGCTTCCCCCCATCAATACCGGCTGCGGTGGGGCTGGCCTCCGGGGCTCGCCTGGTTGGGTATAGGATAGGAAGGGGTGGAGGCCAGGGCTCAGAAGCCTTTGATTTGGGAGGAAGATGGGGCCCCCGGTGGCTGTGACTTGGGAGAGAAGAGAACAGTACTGCTGAGCTTCCTGGGGTGGGGGCAGGGATGTGGGAGGATATTCTCAGGAAGGTAATAGGGGGTGGATACTGGAACACAGAAATATTCAGAGATGGATACTCGGATACAGAGATAATACTGTGTTTGCATGGGTGAATGGACACATAAATAATGTAGATATGGACGTTCTTCAGCAAGCATTGTGGCACTTTGCCCCAGGCTCTCCCAAGCCATCATTACTATATGGCACTTTAATTGTTCCACTTGAACATGAATGAGTGCCAGCCAATGAGTGCAAATAATGTCCTTCCCAAACGGCAAGGGAGGGGAGGGAGGGCTTGGGGCTCCCGGCAGTCACCTCCCAAGTAGGGAAGGAGAATTTGAAAGGAAAATACATTTTATAGACAGAACAGGTTTACCTAGGGCTGGCCTGGTTTACCTTTAACTCAGTAGGGACAAGTAAAAGCTGTTTTTTTTTTGTTGTTGTTGTTGTTTTTCATTTAGCAAAGAAATAATGATGGTTTTCAGCTTTCCCCCCTCACTCTTCTCTCTCTTTCTGCAGAATCTTGAGCATTCTGCCCCAAATTCTCTTAATTATAATCCCATACAGACTGGACTGTTGTGATTGCCAGCAGCCCATGCCAGGGATCCCCAGTTTGGAGCTGTGGGTCCCTGGTCGTGGTTGGGAGGGTCAAGGAAGAGAATACTGTGTGCAAGGAATTTGAGGATCCATATTTGAGAATTCAATTTCTTAGTAAATGGAAACAAAATACAGCTCCTACCATGTGGAAATTCCCCGCATGTTTTCAGCTGCTAACAAGCATCTGCATTTTGGGGGAAATGTTTTAGAAACCACTGCTCTATGCCAATTACTGTTCTTCAGGTTTTCTTTCAACCAAGGTAACATACAAGTCGTTTCAGTGACTCATCGTGAAACTTCCCAGGATGGAAGAGAATTTTTTAAGACCTTTGCTCTTTGCTCCCGCCCTCCTGCTTCCATTCTCAGCTGGGCAGAGGAGTTTGGCCTCAAAGGAACCAAGTGTTCCTGCCCTGTGTGTTTTCATTGTCAGTTGCTACAAAGAGGCCAAAGTTTTTGAGCTTTGTAGACAGGCCTCCTGTAATTGTTAAGGATTGTAGGAGCGCGATCTATTTGGACATCACAAATACGTGAACAGCGTGCTACTTGACATGTTTTTATTGATTTTTTCTCACCCTGACACTCAGTTTTACCGTGCTGTATGGTTTGTGATGTTTTTACACACACTTTATTGGTCCTGTTGACTCTTGAGTTTAGTAGGGTAGATGAGGAAGTAGAGGTTTTGAACAGTGGGGGCCTCGCCAGAAATCTCACAGCTAGTAAATGGCAGAGTCGGGGTACAGACTCAGGTCTTCTGACTTCAAGACCATGACATCATTTTGCCATCATCGTCGCTTCTCTCATTTTTTAATTTTTTTTTTTTTTTGAGGTGGGGGCTTCTTTGATTTTTAAAGGTAGGTTTCCTGAATCTGTATCCCTGTTCTAGCTCCTACAGAAGTTTGGTATCTTCTGGGATCTAAAAGGTATGTTCCATTCTCATCTGGTCTTGGAACTTTTTTCCAGACTCCTTCCCTGCCTTTTCTGCCCCTAGCCCCTTGACTTTCACTCAAGCCCCTATTGGACAGGTGTCCCAAGGGCCCCAAGTGCTCTGTGGATGGGCTCTTGGGAGAGATGAAAGATATTTTCTGCTAGACTCAAAACCTCCACTTTCTCCATGTTTTGTACATATATACAGTTCCTGTGCAAAGCCATTAACACATCCTCCTAGATGGAGCATATTCAGATATATTTCATAAGTACTTTTTTGCCAATCACATTCCAAACTTTAAGTCCATCCCTTCGTACCTTAGATATTTAAGCTGTTGCCACCCTCACTGGGGTTAAGTACACTGAAGACCACCTTACACCTGCTGAGAGGGTCCGATAGGTCTCAGAGATACTCACAAAGGAGTGGCTGAGAGTCCCACCCCCAGGGAACAGGACTGTACAGGCAAAGCCTCCATTGTTCCACTGATGGCTATTGAAGCTGAAAACTCAAAATTGAACCGTGTGTGTGTGTGTGTGTGTGATTTCAGGCCTTAGAAGAGAGATTGGTGAAGGGTGTGTCATAACAATAATTGAGTGCTTGCTCTGCATTAGCCAAATTACCTGTGTGTGTATGAGTTTTTTTTACTTTCCAATAACCCTATAGGCATGTATGTACTACAAAGAAAAAACAGTTTCAAGTTACGTGACTTATCAAAGTTGGTAAAAGGAAGAGGTAAGTCTTGGACTGAGTCTCTCTCCAATACCTCGTGTCCCCCCATCCTGAATATCGCATCGTCAGGAGTTGATGATATTTCTCTGTGAGACCAGCAAGGGCAGAGATCTCATTTGTAGCGAGGACTCTGGAAATAATACACAGGACATGAGATGTATCCGTTAAAATGTCTTATTTTGATGACCCTAGTACATTCTTCTATGGAGTAGAAGTTTTGCTGAAAAGCTACTACTCAGTTATTGTTTGAGGGCCAGTCAGTCTGGACCAGTATATTTGGTCATCAAGCTCACTGTAATAAATTGCAGCAACATGGCAGTTGGCATGTTTCCAAAGATTATGGGCCAAGCAGAGTCCCTCACTCTAGACTTCTAGTAGATAACTCCTTATTGGTGGTATCTCATAGCCTCTTTCCATTCTGATGCACTTGACATATCTTACTGAACCCTCCCAGTCCCCTGTGAGGATAGACCTGTTTTCCTGAAGCAGATTCCAAGAAGCTAAGTAAATTGCCAAAGTCCTGCAGAGCTGGGATTTGGAGTCAGATATTTGTTGACTCCAGAGCTCATGTTCTTAACCAGCCAACAAACACACCAAGAGAGGAAATAGGGATGGGCAGTTATTTGGAGAGGGGCTGTGCCCCTCAAAGCCCCCCCCCCCCCCCCGCCCTGGGAACACATCTGCAGTTAAATAAATTGGGATTATGACTCCCAGTGAGAGAGAACACACCAGAGGGGACCATGAGGCGTCTTAGGAAAAGGGAATTCTAGCATTTGGGTTTCTGTTGGGTCGTTTGGGGAGGGCCTAAGCAAGCAGGGTGTGCTCTCCATTGGACATTGTCGGAAAGCGGAGACAATTCTGAGTGTGAATACATTTTATTCATCTGGACTAGCAGGAGGATAGAGCTGTAATGGGTAAACTCATGGCAGTCGCTTATTTTAGCCAAAAGAGGGTATGTTTGGTATTTCACAGGTGGCACAGTGACCTTATATTTGTGCTTGGACAACTTTAGGAAGTGGACTGACTTTGCCTCATTTTGCGTGACCTTAATTTGAGTTTGGTGTTCTGTGAGATTGTTTACATCCGGTAGGACTGTTTACATCTAATAGCCTAGGTGTGAGTGCAGCGTAGTTTCTGAATGTCGGGGGCTGCTCTGTTTTCTTTTTTAGCAGGAACTCAGGGCGGAGGCCACTAGAAAGTAGGGCATGATGGCACCCTTTCTCTTTAACCCCAGAATTTGGCTTTTTTTTCTCTGTCAAAATTCAGAGTGTGTGTGTGTGTGTGTGTGTGTGTGTATTGGGAGTTGGCTGGGCACTGGGGGGAAGGTTGCTTGGAAGAGGGTCTGGGAACTATGCATTTCTCAGCAATGCTGCCTTTTCCCAAGATGTTTGTGCATCTCCTCGTTAGACGGGGCCACTCAAGCCTTCTAAAAATGTCACACATGAAAGCAAACTCTGTACCTTACAACTACCCTTCGCTGGGTTTCTTTTTTGATTCAGCCTAATGCATTGAAGGTGATAAGGATCTGGGTGTAATGAAGCAGAAAAGACAAAGGAAAGGAAATATTAGATACAGGAGGAGAAAAATACTTGTTCAATCAATAGAGATAAGAAAGCAGCTGAGTTTCCAGATCCTCAGCTGCCACCTGGCTTGTCGGGGATGGGTGGGGCTCGGGGTGGGGTGGAGGTTTGAGAGGCGATTGGATTTTCAAAATCAATCATTATCTGTTCTTTCTCTTCTTTATCAGTAGCCAGGAAGTACCTGATCAGCCGCTTAGAATTGGAGCAGTTTCTGTGTATTCCAGCTCATTTAGGAAAAAACGTTTTGGGCTTACAAACCTGAGAATTAAGCTGGCTTTCTTCTTTCTTTCTCTTTCTTTTCTTTCTTTCTTTCTTTCTTTCTTTCTTTCTTTCTTTCTTTCTTTCTTTCTTTCTTTCTTTCTTTCTTTCCTTCTTTCTTCTTTCTTCTTGCTTGCTTGCTTCTTTCTCTCTCTTTCTTTCAAGATTTATGTGTTTATTTTATTTATTTATTTTTTTAAAAGATTTTATTTATTTATTTGAGACAGAGAGAATGAGAGACAGAGAGCATGAGAGGGAGGAGGGTCAGAGGGAGAAGCAGACTCCCTGCCGAGCAGGGAGCCTGATGTGGGACTCGATCCCGAGACTCCAGGATCATGACCTGAGCCGAAGGCAGTCGCTTAACCAACTGAGCCACCCAGGCGCCCGATTTATGTGTTTATTTTTAGGGGTGGAGAGGAAGAGAGAGAATCCCCAGCAGACTCCCCTCCCCAACTGAGCCCAGAGGGGCCTCAATCCCAGGACCCCAAGATCACCACCCAAGCTGAAACCAAGAGCCAGGTGCCTAACTGAGCCACCCAGGTGCCCCTGAGCAGTAGGCTTTCTAACATTCCCCGTACACAGCCCACCAGGAGCCTGAGTGGCCACCTGGGAGGAATCAGCCAACCAAGAGACCATGATGACCCATCTGGCATTGCAACCAAGTAAAACCTACCCCAGAGTTAGCCTGACTCATTTTTGGTGTTAGACAGTAATTGTTCTTTGTGTACCTGATAAGCAGGCCCATGGTCTGTTGGAGAAGTGGCATTTTCTCAGGATGGTTTTGTCTGGGTGGATCTTGAGCCCAGCAACCTGCCAGCTCCGAAGAGCCAGATGCCCCTGCTCTCCTTCCATTCCCTGGCCTAGTGGGGCTGGAGGTGGCTTTGGTGAGGCTGGACCTGGGCCGCACCCTGAATGGTGGTTTGAGTCCCACTGTGAGGCCCACTTCCAGTCCCAGAAGCCAGAAGGAAGAAGGGGGAAGGCTGGGCTTTCATGGAAGGTGGAGAGGGATGGAAGCAGGAACCAGGCAGAGTGGGAATTGCTCTGAGGTTAAACTGAAGACCTCTGGAGCAGAAAGCACAGGGGTTCTGAATGGCCTGACTCTCTGCAGAGGAGTCCTCAGGCCTGGGTTTGTCTCAGCTGAAAGGTATGTCCTCCTCAAGTGTTGGTGGCCTGGACATAGTGGGTACCTGAGTTCAGGGCCTTATTTGGTTTTGGGGATAACCAATATTGGATGTCCATATTTATAGCGGAATTTGCACCTTCTCTGAAGATGAGGCTGAGGCTCCACTAGGAATCTAGGTGGAGAGGGGACAAGGGGCACTGACTAAAGGCCTGTGTTCTTTCTAGGTACTTCTTGGTAGGGAAGGCAGGAGGTAAGATGTAGAGAGCAGCAGGAGGGCCATCTTGCCCCACAATAGCGCTTCCTGCTCCCACTGCTGCCTTGGATTCCACTAACCAGAGATCAATTTAGTTATCAATGAAAAATCCACAGGGAAGATTAAGAGAGTGGAAACTAGTTGTCCCTCACCCCTTAGTATGAATTAGTCTGCACAAAACCTTTCCCTTAACCTAGCTGAGATCAAATCACAAGGAGAATGGAATTTTGTAGGTAGACAGAGTCTTGGGGCATGCACAAAGCCCTAGAGGGGAAGTCAGAAGTGGATCTGGGGCAGACTTAGCTCAGCCAGCAGAGAACATGAGGCACTGGAAAACCTGGTTAGCAGTGGAAGAAAAAGGCATCAGAACACACGGGAGGCATTTCAAAGCCTGGCCCAGAGTAATCTGCTTCCCTCTCTTTCTTTCTTCTCAAAGACCATGGAGAGAACCTTCTCAGCTAAGTGCAGGGGTCATTTATCCTGACACCCGAAGCACTCTCCGGGAGACACAAGGTGAGGCACGGGTGGGGCAAGCTGGTTGGGAGTCAGGACAGGAGCCTTTGCCCCCCTGTGCTGGGAATTAGGGATCAGGCTGCTGTCCCAGCTTTACCAGCAAGTGTGCCCCCCCCCCCACTCCTCCCTTGTCCCTCCCAACCCCGGGGCTCAGCCTAACTCACCAGGGTGCTAGGGTGTGGGATTGGGGCACTCCTTGTGACTGAGTTGGCTGTGAGTAGGACCCTGAAGAAAACCTACATTTCCTTCATAGGGGACATAGTTCACAGCTGGAAGTTCGAGATGCTTCCATTGCAGGAGGAAAAGGATTGAGGAGCCAGAGCTCCATCACCACTCCTGGCTAAGTGCAGCAGGAGTGAAAAGTAAAAGTAAATTTAGAAGTTCCAACCATCTAACTGTACAGCAAGGTTGCAGGGCATCCGGCAGGAAACCTCGCCCAGTTGCATTTTCCATCTCCTAAACGGTAATTCCCATGAGCCTAGAAGGCTCTTCTGTTGGAACACTCACTTTGTTACACTTGTATGTGACCAGTTATGCCACTGGTAAAAACAAAAGAAAATGAACATATTTAAAAGCACTCTTTATTTATGAGACTTAGACAAATGCTGAATTATAAGAATTTCTTTCAGGACCACAAATGGAAACATAGTTCAGAAGAGAAATATTTTGACAGTAAAAGAAATTAATGGGAGAACTGAGCTTACTACACGCATGTCACCCTGCCATGTCTGAGAGGAGGTTCCAACCACTCTTAACTCAAGTTTGGGCATTGTCCTGGAGAATAAAAGGGTCCTAAGGTGGCATTAAGGGAATCGTTTGAGTCTGTGTAGTTGAGAGCCACCATAGAACAAGGGCCAGAGATCTCTCTCGGCAACCTTTTCCTCAGTTCTCTCACCTGGGCAAGACTGAGAAGAAGGAAAGCCTTTGCAAGTCTCTTTTAGAAAGCAGTGAGAAAGACACGCAACCTTGCTGTCCAAATACAGACTTGGCTTGCTGTGGTAACACAGGTTCTTGTGGAAATCTTTATGCCCCCAAATTAAAAATAAGCAGGGATGGAAGTAGTTATCGACTTCCTTAAGTCTCCCTTTCCTACTGGCTGTAAGAATGTTGCAGAACCCTAGACCAGGCTGAAATACTATTGAGAAAAATTTTGAGAGGCTGAGAGCCCAGCAAACACCACAGCAACTGACTTGGCAGTTTGAGCAGGAAGGCACAGGGCCCCCGCGGGGTGCAGATGTGGGCTCTACTAGGAGAGCTCGCTTGCAGCACCAGGTCCAGAGTCACTGGAGGAAGGTGGTGTGGTGGTGACACTTTGTTCTTAATATTCAGTTTTGCTCCAGTAGAACATGGTACCCAGGAGAACCCAAAACTAGAATACAAAGGAAAAAAACAAAAATAAGGAATTGTTTGAGAAACAACTCATACTTGGGGGAAAAAAGGATGTTAGGTTCACTCAGGCTTAGATGATGCTGAATTTTTAAGAGTAATCTTGCCTTAAGAAACCTCATGGGGCAGAGCTAACTATCCTGCCACTCAGCGATAGCGTCTCCGTTCCCCCTTTCCTGCACCAATCTGCACTAGACTTCCCTGTCCGCTGGGGTTGCACCTCTCACGTCTGTGCTAAACCAGCCCCCTGGGGAAATTCTTCTTCCCATCAGGGCTAATGGCCTTCCAGTGGATTCCTATTTCTTGTATGTACCAATTGGAGGTACAAGTTTCTTGCTTTCTAGCATTGAATCTCTCCTCCCACCAACCCCCTCTTTTCCCGGAAATGCTGGGAAACTGTGACCTAGAATGGCTGCCCCTGAAGAATGCCACAGAACTCAAGGTTTTTGACTCGGGCGAGGGGTGAGAATTTCTGGGTTCTGGTTCTCTTGCAGCTCTACCACTCCTCCCTGCATCTGGAAGGTAATGATAATATTCTTCACCTACCCCAGAGTCAGACGATGGAATGAGAAAGAAATACTATGACCACTAATGTCTGGTGTTTATTGACAACTTACTATACATCAGACACTGTTCTGCGTGCTACACATACAACCCCAGTGAAGGCTTCCAGAACTCTATGAAGAGACCAAGGACACAGAGAAGGTAAGGTACTTACCCAAGGAGACTGGCTCCCTACCTAGCTACTGTTGTGGGGATTTAATGCTAAAAGTATTGGATATAATGTCTTGTCCATAGCAGGCCTTCAATACATTTAGTTCCTTTCACTTCCCTCTTTTGAATTTCAGGGGGACTTACTAGATTCAGAGTCCATTTGATGCTTGTGGAAATGTCAAGAGTTTCAACTGGTCTGGAGTTCTAAGATGGTTTAGAGCCTTTAACATTATCCCACAGTTCCTGCTAGCATTGCACAAACAGAAACTTCACTGTTACCATTTTCCATTCATTCAACAAACTATCAAGCACCTGCTACGTGCTCTGCTAGGCCCTGGGCATACAGAGGGCAGCTGGTTCCCAGGCTTTTGGCAGAGACAAATACATCGTAGCGGAGTGACGGTGACACGACAGAGGTGTGTGGGGGGTGGCCTGGGACTTCCTGAGGGTGGGTGAGCGTGAACTCTCAGAGGAGTTCACTTTCCCTTCCTGCCTCACTCAGCTTCTCACCCTGAACCCAGCATTGCCTAAAGTGTGGTGCACAAACACCCAAGGGACCCTTGTGGGTGGGCCTGATGTCAAGACCATTTGCATAATTATATTAAGACTTTATTTGCCCTTTTCGCTGTTTTCCACATTTGCACTGATGGTGCAAAAGCTGGAGAAGGTAAAAATGCTGGCATCTTAGCAGGATTCGAAGTAGAGGCATTGAACTGTGGTAGGAGTCAGTGTATTCTTCACTGCTATGTACTTGCAGTTAAAAAAAAAGGCACTTTAAGAGATTTAGAGTTTCAGAATTTTGAGATTGTTTTTGATGAAACAGTAAGAATGACTAGTTTTATTAAATGTTCACCTTTGAATATACATCTTTTTTTTTGGAAAGATTTATTTATTGGGGCATATGGGTGGCTCGGTTGGTTAAGTGTCTACCTTTGACTCAGGTCATGTTCCTGGGGTCCTGGGATCGAGCCCCGCATCGGGCTCCCTGCTCAGAGGGGAGTCTGCTTCTCCCTCTGCCCCTCTCCCCCCTTGTGTTCTTTTGTTCTTCTCTCAAAGAAATAAATAAAATCTTTTTTTTTTTAAAGATTTATTTATTTGAGAGACAGTGCACGTGCGCTCCTGTGCGGGAGTGGGGTGGGGAGCCCAACATGGGGGGCTCGATCTCAATACCCTAAGATCACACGACCTGAGCGGAGATCAGGTTAAGTGGGCACTTAACCAACTGAGCCACCCAGGCGCCCCTGAATATACATCTTTTTAATATTCTTGCAACAGAGAGTATGCGTAAAGTAGTTTTGTTGCATCCTGAAATCTGATGGTTGCCTTAAGGAAAAGCACTTGTGTGATTGTTTGATTGTATACTGAACTAGCCACTTTTTAAAAAGATTTTATTTATTTATTTGAGAGAGAGTAAGAACACGAGCTGGGGTGGGGGGGCTGTGGTTAGAGGTAGTGGGAGAGGGAGAAGCAGACTCCCCACTGAGCAGGGAGACCGATGCGGGGCTCGATCCCAGGACCACGGAAACATGACCTGAGCCGAAGGCAGCCGCTTAATGAGTGAGCCACCCAGGCGCCCCTGAACTAGCCATTTTTTCATGAAACATGATTTTTACTTGAAAAAATGATTAATAGACGAACTACAGTTATTCAGATTGGATGTTTGGCAGACATTTTCTCAAAAATTTACAAAGTGAGCCTGTCTCTTCGAGGTAAACAACTGGCAGTATTGTTGCCAGTGATAAATTTGGGCGCTCAAGCAAAAATCAGGCCACTTGTTTCTGTCATGGTGGGTTGATAGCATCCCCACGATAAAGGTCCTTTCCAATGTGGCAATAGCAACGAATGTGATTTCTTGGTATTGAGTAAAGAATTCAGCCAACATGTGGAAGATCAGCATAACTCAGTGAACCAGTATTTTCCCAAATGACCAATGCATGATGTTATAGAATCATGAATGGGTAAAAAATTTATGCAAATTGTAAGACAAACCGATGTAAATGTATTTTAATATAATAGAGTCTGAAAAGTTTGTTGACATAGTTTTAGATTCCACATTGCAACTAACCTTTAAGAAACTGCTCGTTGTCAAGTTCTGTGTAGTACCAAAGAAGAATATTCACAATTATCTTTAGATAAGGCTATCAAAACATTCCTGGTTTTTTTCAGCTACCTATCAGCGTGAGGGTGGATTTTCTTCAAATCCTTCAACCTAAGCAACATACTCTAACAGATTAAGTGAAGAAGCAAATATGAGGACCCAGCTGTCTTCTATTAAAACCAGACACTGAAGATACTTTTAAAAATGTAAAACAAAGCTACTTTTCTATTTTTTGTTTTGGAAAATAGTCACTTTTTCCACAAAAATATATTGTTGATGCTAACATGTAATTAGTTTATTATTGTTATTTCAAAAGAATTAATAAGTACTTTTTAAAAAAAATTCTGGGTTAATTTCCCATAGGGTAAATATAAATGGATATAGCCACCATAAATAAAAGCTTGTTGGAGTCCTCAATAATTTTTGAGAGTGTAAAGGGGTTCTGAAACCAAAAGTTTAGAATTGCTTCCCCAATATAATGGCTCTTAATCCTGACAGCAAATCAGAATCATATGGAAAAAAAATTTTTTTAAAGGCCTGGGTCCCTGATCCACTGAATCAGAATCTCAGAGGTTAGGGCCCAGGCATATTTTCTTTTCTCCAAGCTTCCCCAGGAAGTGATATCTAACCACTTAGATTTCTTTGGTATCTAACTATAATGAATTAATGAGATCCAGAGGGCTGGAGCAGCAGACAAATGCTCCCCCATCAGCTGGGGGAACTGGCTAGTAGGGCACATCCCTTCCCCTGGAGGGGATATAAACGCCCCACTGCCAACCGAATCCACTGTCCTTGGCCTGGTGCCCGCAGCTTCCTGACTAGCCCTCAGGTTTTGTTTCCAGACTGGCTAGTGTGGTTGGGTTAACCAGGGGCAATCTCAAGTTCTCTCCTTATCAAGTGCAGAGAAATACTCACAGTCCAGCAGAGAATGGCAAATCCAAACCAGGCCACCCCCCAGGCATGTCGGTTCATCGGTCCAGAGATGAGCTCATAGCATCCCTGGAGGAGCAGGTGATTCCACGTGGGTGTGAGAGAAACCAGAAAAGAAGATGTAAGGGATGGGCGGGAAAGCAGATTTCCACTTGGATCAATACTATTCCAAAGTCTAGGTTAACATAACCAGGTTATTTCCACATCCCCTGGAGAGCTGGGTATTAATGGGGCTTTGCTGAGGGAATAGAAATAGTCCTGTTCAACAACTATTCTAAATCACATTATTTTGTGTCTTTACCACTCAGTCTAACAAAGGTGCTGCTATTTTAGGCTAACATTTTTTCGTATTGAATACATGGGCAATGCATTCTTTTTTTTTTTTTTTTTTTAAGTTGTAGTATAAAGTACAATATAGTCTTAATAAAATTTGAGTATTTTTTCTCTCCTTACAGATTTTTTTGGTGATTTTTTTTTTTTGAGGGCAGAGGTACCTTTTGATTTGTTTGTTCTTAAATAAAAGTGCTTCTGATCTATAAAAATCAAAGGGTTTTTTTTAACCATTAAAGGAACCCCTATTTCATGCTGTCTAAATTCTCATTCTCTATCATATTTCAACGTATCTTTATTGGATTCTAGTGACACCTTGAGAAGCCACGGTGTGCGTGCAAGCGATTCATTTTTTATTAATCAAATCATTCATTCATGCATGCCATAATCCAGTGAGTTCTTATATGCAGCACACTCTGTTCCAGTCACCATGAAAAGTGCATGGGGTTAGAGCTGCCCTCTGAGCGTCCTGTGCTAAAGCTCCGGGAGAAGTCTAGGGAATGCAATAGCCAGGTGGTTCCAGGGACCACTGAGGTCCAGAGGGAAATGTCCTCAAAAGGCTGACCTTGAAGTTTAGACCCTGCCCAGTGGCTACAGGTGAACGCTAGAGGTTTCATCTTTCTGACCCTGCTCGAGGCCCTTGTTAACCCACTTACACACCCTGACTTTGCTAAGCGTTTATTTCCCTCCCATTTACTCTTCTCTATCTATGTTATAGGCATCTCCATTCCCTTATGTGCTCAAGTAAAAAATTTTGAAATTATCTTTAACTGTTCTTCTCTTATCCAACATCAAATACTTAAACAAAACCTTTTGGGTCTACTTTAAAAATATATCTCAAATCCAAACACTTACTACTTCCTGCTACCGTCTTGGTCCACTATGGTCTCACTCCAGAATTACTACAACAACCTCTTAACTGATCTCCCTGGGGCCTGAGTCCACTGTGGGCACCCTACTTATCTTTATACAGTGCCAGAGGGATGCTTGTAAAACATAAATCAGATCACTTCAAATCCCTGCTCAAAAGAAATGGCTTTCTACCACCCTTAAAATGAAATTAGGAGTCCTCCCAGTGGCCTATGGGGCCCTGTCTGACGTGGCTCTGCCTCTCTCTATGAGCCCAGCATCCTCTACCAGAGGCTGTTTCCCTGTAAAGCTAATGAACTTAAGCTTCGGGGCTGCTTACGTACAAGACCATTTCAAGGCCCTGTACCTAATTTTGTATGCATATTTTTAATCGTTTTTCCTAAGGAGGGGATCCTTCCATGCAGAGTCAAGCCCTACAAAATCTAAATCATCCTTGGCTTCTACTCTTCCTTCACTCATTCTGGCCTTGCCATGCTGATGTCCTTGATGTTCCTCTAAAAAGCTAAGAATGCTCCCACTTCAGGGCCTTTGCACCTGCTGCTTCCTTTGCTTAGAACTCTCTTCTCCAATCTTCTTTAAGTGAGTGTCTCATTTCCTCACTTAATTCAGAACTCTGTGCAAGTATTATTCCAATGAAGCCTTTCTTGACCACCATAGAGAAAAACACTCTTTCCCCTGTCATTCCCTATATACTCACCCTGCTTTACTTCTGTTCATGGCATTTATCACTACCTGGAATTTATCATGTATTTGTTTGGTGTCT